ATGTATAGGTATCCAGTTTTTCTCCAAAATACACAAGTTGCTTCAGACTGGTCCAAGGCATGGGAAAGATGATGTGATCCCATCTCACAAAGTCAAGTTCCGTTTTTCACAGCATGGTTTTGTATACCTGAACTCCAAGTGCAATGAAGAAGCCTACAATAGCCACGCACTAGGAGTGCATGCAATGCTATCACAGTTGTGCAGAGAACACCTACTTTGTATATTTCCACCTGAAGGTGTATGTCCATTCAGTTAAAGAGCTAACAGATGAACATTTGGTGTATCCAATCTCAGTGCTTGCACATCTAATTCCAGAGCGCTTACCTCATGCTCTCAGCTCTTTATTCAAGAAAACTGGAGATATTCTTTATATTTATGGTCTTATTATATCCCATCTTAACTGCACACAAATTTCCTCCTCCTCAGTTTATCATCAGGTTGGAAATACGATAAGAAAGGCAATTTGTACAAAATATTCAGTGTCTCTGTATCCCTGCTTAAAATATGTTTGCGTATTTATTGGTTGGGTTTTTACTCCCTGATCAATGAAGGTTACTGATACCACACTGCCATCATGCTTTTGTCTCTACTGGTCAAGCTAAATGTCAGTCAGAAATCCATACTCATCATGCTTTTATTCTATATCTAGTTTTTTCTTCAGATCTGTGACTATGGATGCAGGAAATGTTCAATATGTTTGATATTGAAGTAACATGTACAGCTGCAGAAAGTCACATTTAAGGAGCCAATGCAATTCAAAAGTAAGAGATGATTGAAGATGTAGATACTATTTTTCTCACTTAGATTAGGAAAATCACCCATGTCATCTTGTGAGTGGTTCATGATTGGTATCTAGTTACTGAGGCTCTACTACTCTCTAAGAACAAGTGCTCTTATTTGTGTGAAGTATATCTCTTGGGAAATCTTTCATCTCATCTCGTTAATGGTCCTTGAAGGGAGGCACTGCAGATTTTGTGACAGGTGTTGGTTACAGCAAAGCACCGTGGTACACTTTTGGCCAAGGGACCAAGCTAGAGATTAAACGTAAGTATGGATTTTTATCTGTTTCTTCAAAGTATGTGGAAGTCTACATTTCACAGTAATTTTTTTTTCAGCAGAATACTGAAGTTGAATTTAGAATTTAAAATGTCTGCCTTTAGTAGCTGAAGGCATTTGTGTTTCATTTAAATGGGTAGTGAGGAAAAGAATAGCTGTACATCAGGGAAGATATATCAGGAAACTCTGTGATTAGCTCCAGCAAATGGCACCAAGGTCAATCAAAAAGTGTCTTTTACTGTTCAATATTTACTGAAAATACTGTATATTTTCTATCTTGCATTTGTCTCTTTTCCATAATGTCCTGGATCTACAGGAAGGTAATGCTAAAAAAAAAAATGAGGACTGAATAAGAAATTCTTCTGTAAAAGGAATTCAACTGGGTTGATATTGCTTTGTAAACCATGTGGCATCCAGTTGAAAGCTGTAGCGGCTGTTAAAAGTTTTTAGATTGAAGCAATGAGGTGAACTGAATTAAGAATGTAAGAGTTCATACAGACTTTGTTTTTACAACAAATTCCAGGATCCCTTATAAAGAAACTTCCGCAAAATAGAAAGAGGGGAGAAGGGGAAAGAAAAAAAAAAGAAATAAAAAAAAGAAAAAAGAAAAGAAAGAAAGAAAGAAAACTTGAATGCAGATAGATAGCTCTTTTCTGCTCTGTGCCATTTCTTATGATTCTCTGCAACCAAGGGCAGCTTATGACTGGGGTGGAGGGGAAGACATTTTCCTCAATGTTGCGCTGAGGTGCTGTTTTTGTCTCAGTCCACTAGCCACTCCAGTCAGTGGTTAAAATATCTTAAATGCAGGACACATTAAGTAACCTGAAACAGAAAACAGGTGGGGGAAAATAGATTTTGCACCACTATGCCATGAACACTTGCCTGAAAACCAGTCGTGTTTATTTTGTTGGTGTGCATTCCAAAGTAAGTGAGCACACTTCAGAATAATGGTTGCCCAGAGGCCAAAAAAAAATGAACAAAGGAGTACTCCGGGAGCAGCATTTGTCACATCATTTACGTTTATGGCAGTATGTGGAGTTCTTTACTCTTTTAACAGTAAAGTAACCTGAGAATATTTCTTTTTCTAAGTGTTTGGTATTTAAGTGTGCAGACATACAACCTGCTGCTCATCTCTATAGAGTTCTAGTCTGTTGTGCAAAAACTGCTGTTAGAAAAAGAATTGGAGTTGCTTCCAAAAATTAATGTCACAAACTTTGCCCACAAGACACAGTAATGTGTGTCATTTTGTTTTTTCTTCTTTTCCAAAGCACCAGAGACTTTGATCTCAATTGTGATCAACTGCAGTTTGAATTAAAATATATGCTATTACGTATAATCAAATCAATTAATATAGGCAGGCAGATCACTTACAATAGGACAATTAAACTGTATGTCTTTTTAATACCTTAGAGCACAAGCTCATCTAAATTAAGCCCTTTGTAATATTAGTGCATATTTATCCTTTCTCCCACTAACTAATACTGTAGGACTGAAATGCTAACTGTTGGGCAGACTGGATACTTAGTAGTTATTTGGCTATCTCTATATTAAAATGTGTTTTTGTAATGGAATACTGAATTCAGATCTCTTAAGTTATCTATTTCCTGATTACCCGTGAGACAAGTTTATTTTTAACATATACAATGTATAAATCATTTACAAGGCAAAAAAAAAGAGTCTGTACTGTGGGCAAAAGTATAACAATACACCACACAGAGTTATCTGTGAGGAGAGTTGGCCTCTCTTATGCATATTTTTAATTTGTAATTTCCTTATGTGTTCTCCTCATACCCTTAAATTTCTCTGTATAGTGTCATCCCTTACTAACTGTCCCAAGAGCTGGTCCTCACCTTAGATTAAGTGAGACAGCTATTTCATGCAGCAAATGGTGGGTGTCTTGGATAGGCAACAAATTGTTCACTTTTTTTAACCCATCCATGGCTCTGTCTTTACTACCACTGTGTTGAAGGGGCACTTATGAGATTTATCTGCCTCAGGTGTAAAATTTGATTGGCCATGGGTACTATCAAACTCCAGTAGGGATAGAATATTTGTTCCCCTGCCTCAGCAAGGAAAATCTCCTGGGCCGGCCATGGCGGGTTGGGGTGGGTGGTCTAGACAACCTCACAATACATGACCTATAAAGCATTCAGATAGATGTGCACATGTGTGCGTGTGTGTGTGCGTGTGCGTGTGTGCGCTTGCGTGCGCCTGCGTGCGCTTGTGTGCTTTCTTTAGTGTTTTTGGTACATTGGTTTCTAATAGAAAGATGATAATTTTAAAATTTTCCCGTTTATTTTACAATATTGCTAGAATTTTGGCTGGCAAAAAATGGCTCAGTGTCCTATCATTGGGTGTTGTCCGAGCCAGCAGGTCTTGAATAGACTTTTCTATTGTACGTATACATGCATCACTGTTTTCTTTTTCTATACACACTTGTCAGAAATAGGCTTAGTTGCTCTTTCAGTAGAGTGAACCCACTAAAATCAATGGGATTTAAGCCAGTGATGCTTAGCCTAAGACCCATTTATTTAACTTAATATACTCTCTAAATATAAATGTTTCTGGCTCCAAACCATTGTTTGGAACATTTTATGATTTTGGATTTGTTGGGTCTCCCCCCCCCCATGTTTCCTTAGAAACAAATCCCTCCTAGATGAACCCATAAAATTATATAGGGTGTGAAACATACTGGGCCGCTCCCCCACCATATATGTTCAAGAAAACATGCTAGGTGGAAATGTCTGACGCTAAATCTACTTCTCTCTATTCATCAATTTACCAACTGCACTGTTTGTCCACCCTCTGTAACAGATCTTGTGCTAGTAATTGTTGTGGCAGAAAGTGAGCATTGATAATACTATTCTCCTCATCTCAGTATTTATTTTCCTGTTGTGGGACAGCAGTTGAGCATTGGGTCCATGTCAACTGAGGGATGAGACAGCAAGAGGGAGTGCCTCTTTCTGACCTGAATCACACAAGATAGGGTCAGCTCAACAGGGCAACCCAATGACCTCAAAGCAAAACTGATCCTGAAAGTCATGGAAGGTGGTGTCTGCACCCCAGGCATAAATAACAGAATGTTCTGTCTTTGTGTTCATTCCTGCAGGCAATGATGCCACACCTTCAGCATCCATTTTCCCTCCCTCAGAGGAGCAACTTAAAACCAGCTCGGCAACTGTAGTGTGCCTGATTGACGGCTTCTATCCGGGTGACTTGGGTGTGGTCTGGAAAATGGATGGCACTACTGCCACGACCAAGCAGGTCCAGACCAGTTCTGCGGCAAGGAATACAGACCAGACTTACAGACTCAGCAGCACCCTGGCGCTCTCCACAGAAGAATATAATTCCCATGAAGAGTATACTTGTGAAGTGACGCACAAAACTTTGTCCCAGCCCCTGGTGAAGAGTTTCACAAGGACTGGGTGTTCTGGTTAGGAAAGGACCCCACAATGCAGAGATACCCCCCACTAGCATAGTAGCTCCTGTAATGCAATGTATCTTCTATTTCTCTCATTAGAACCTCCTTCTGTTTCAGCTACAAAACAACTATCTGTATCAGAAATTGTATTACTTCCTAGGCATTATGATGAAACCAAGAGGCCTACAAAGTCTCGTATTTTCTTCTTGAATCACAGTATGTGACTTCTAACATTGCCTAATCTGTGTCCCGCTTTTATCAAGGTAATCTCAGAAAATAAAATGAATACATAAATAAAGGCATTTAATTTAAAAGCATCTGCTGTCTGTCTGCTTTTTGCTTCTCTTGTGATGATCATCTGAAAATGAAACAGCAAACGCCAGTGAATTACATAAAAGGCTGGAGGAAGCTGCAATAATAAGAGGCTGTGCACATAATTTCATTTTATTAATTTTATGTCCAGAACAGTATATATGTGTTTGTGTGACAGAACGTGTGCATGTGTGCAAATGCTCACACATATGGATGTATGTTCCTCTTTACCACTGTTCACCACCCTCCCTACTGACTTTGATATGTGAACATGTCTCATTGGTTCAATAGGACCTGGGAGCTTAGAATCCAGGGACAGACACTGCCCACAGGAATCATAACTGGATATCCACTTTTGTTTGCATAGGCGCGATACTTTTGTTTGTGTACAATTTTGGGGTGAAGATTGGACCAAGACATTTTGCTGTCTGGCTGAGGTTGGGCTGTAAAAGGCACCCCCTCAACCAGTCAAACCCCGTAGTATCCAGTGGCAGCCAACTTCTTTTAACATCCAACAATCACACAAAATTTTCTCCTTCTCCCTGGCAATTTAAAAAAAAAGCCCACATCAATATGAATTTGATGCAGAACATTGATCCAACATCAGCTGCCTGTAGCAGCTTCCTCACTTTGCCAAGTGGTAGAACAGACTCCAGAGGGATCTTTCCAATACTGCATTTAGGAGAAGTAAACTAGATTGGGAATCTCACATGTAGCCAGGTCTGTCGCTTAGCAGTTGAAGGAACATATTCAGTGGTGGGATTCAGCAGGTTCGCACCAGTTCTACAGAACCGGTAGCTAATGTATTATTGGTTCTGCAGAACCGTTTGTTGGCCTGCTGAATCCCACCACTGAACATATTGTGTGCATGTAGTCCTTTCCCTCCACTTTTGCCCCTTCACGTCTTCATGGTTTTGCTCACATTAGCAAGTACTGGAATATTTGGTACCTCCATACACTGCTATAGATGTTTTTTTCTTTTTCTTTTGACGTATGCGAGGTCCACTGTTACCATCATTAAAGCAATGAAACAAGGTGGACAGGGAAGACATAACACTCTCCACTAAGGCAGGGTAGAGTGAACTCTCCCTTCAATGCTGAGGGAAAGGACCAAGGTTCCTGTGCATTTCTTCCCTCAGGAATGATAAATAAAAAGGAACCAAAAGTGAGCAGCGAAAAAAGCATATTGAAACAAGATTAACACTGCTGTTATAATTGAGGACTCTAGGAATATACTTCCTTACCCCACACTCATGGAAAAACTAAGGCTGCAATCAATCCCGTGCACACCTATGTGAGAATAAGACCCATGGAAAACAACAGGAGGAGATTCACAAGTGAGTAAGCACTGTGCTTAAGAGCTTTCTAGTCAAGAGACTGAATGATAAAGGAGAAGCAGAAGTAATTTGTCCTCCCCCACCCCACCCCCAATGACCTGAAGGCCCCACTGGAGATATCAGCCAGGCCTGGTCACAACAAAAGAAGTAGCCAGTCCCACTATCAGTAGACTTATATCAATACTGTGTTTCCTCAAAAATAAGACAAGGTCTTATATTAATTTTTGCTCCAAAAATGCATTAGGGTCAAGAGATGTTTTATTTTTTTCATGGACAACAATCTACATCTTTTCAAAGAGAGTCATGTCATCTTCTCTTGGTTCCTGCACAATGATGGAGGGAGGGGTTTCACTCAACTGGGGCTTATTTTGGGGGAGGGATTATATTATGGTAAAGGTAAAGGTTCTCCTTGACAATTTTTGTCCAGTGGTGTTAACTCTAGGCCATGGTGCTCATCCCCGTTTCCAAGCCATAGAGCCAGCGTTTTGTCCAAAGACAATCTTCCGCGGTCACGTGGCCAGTGCGACTTAGACATGGAACACTGTTTCCTTCCCACCTAGATGGTCCCTATTCATCTACTCACATTTGCATGCTTTCGAATCGCTAGGTTGACGGGAGCTGGGACAAGCGACGGGCACTCACTCTGTCACATGGATTCGATCTTACAGCTAAAGATCTACAGGCCTTATAGCACAGAGACTTCTGCAGTTTAACCCACAGCACAACCTATATTATGAGCATCCTGCAAAATCATACTAGGACTTATTTTCAGGTTACATAGGTCTTATTTTCGGGGAAACAGGGTACCAACATCTATACCAACAACACAAGTTGGATAGATGTACCTGTTTATTCTGTCATTCCCCCCAAAACTTCATAGTATAGTTAGGGAATTCTGTGGATGTGCCCCTAGATGCTTTTTTTTCCATTAAGGAGACACACAACATCTAAGGGGTCAAAAGCCTTAGTCGTACTTTTCATTATTAATGATCCTGATAACAGAATCTGAAGTAGACAAAATCATTGGTTTCATTCAGTTCAATGGAAGTCAAGGCAAAATAGAGCCTTACTCACTCTCCCTCATTATGTGCAATTCTTTTGTTGTTTCTATCTCAATGTAATATATACTATGATATACATCAGCTGAAATCCAGTAGTAATTCAGAACTAGAGCATGCCCATCTGAATCAATGGAACTCATAGAGGAATTGACTCATCAAATCTCCACTGATTCAGTGGATCTATCCTAGTTGTGATTTACTACTGGATTTCAGCAATTTTGCTGTTATTGTCCACTGGAGATTGTATTACATACAGAATATTTAAATCTACAGATGAGTTCTATGCCACATCCTGTTCTTGTACAGATATGTCATAATTACAAAAGTTTTAAACTCAGTTTGTACTAGGTTCTCAGACTATTTTCTAGTATTCTCATGTAATCATGTGGCTCATGTGTAGACAATGGCATGCATGCAACTCATTTTGGGTACTCTCCCACAAATGGACTAAACTGTATTTCTGATCAGCATACCGCTACTTAATCCTATGTTAACATCAGTGATATACTAGGAAATACAGCATGCAAATAAAACTGTCATGGCCAGTTTCAGGGTTTAGCACTGTTAGAGAATTAAAAAGACCACACTGTGGTATGGGGCCCATTTAGGGTTACAAGGTCTCAACACTAGCTTAAGTCTCAGGAAACTAGTATGTTTCTCTGTCTTTCCAGTTCAGGAGACAGATGTGGGGCTGAATAGTGATAGAGGAGGCGGAAGTTTGGCTTTTAAGTATTTTAATCCTAGGCACCCTTTTCCACCCAATGGTGCAAAAGGTGTTTGTGGAGGACTGGTGCTTACCTCCTTTCCAATACTTGCCTGCCTTGCCTCTGTGACATCACAAGGACCTGCCTTGTGACATCACAAGGACCTGCCTTCAGTTTTTGCTTTGAAATTTTGTGGCATGATAACAAAGGTAGTCTCTGAAGTTGCCTGTACTCTGAAACAATGGACCTCAGAGACTGCCTTTACCTTCATGCCTTGGTTTCAGAGCCTTTGCCTTCAAGGAAAGAAGCTAGTGCTGAGCAGAGAGCCAACTTCTCAACTGAGGAAACACAGAGATGTCAGTACATGCTGGAGAATTGTTTTCTTCCAGGCATTCAGGGAGTCCTTGGGGGTGGGGGGGAGAGGCTCAGCAATGGAGGCAGTGCTTTTCTTCCCAGCACTGATGACAAGTGAGCTGAAATTACACAAAGGCCTCTGCCTTTAGGTCATCAAAGGATGAGCACAGGACAGGGCAGCCATACTCTCTGAACTGGTGCCTCAAGGCATAACCTCTGGCGCACCCTAGTGATGGCACTAAGGACCAATTACAAAAAGTTGGATTGAGGCAAGTTCATGTTATAATAAACAGACAGCCTTTTCCTTTTAATGGAACTCTGATTCTAATCATATGTTTGTTAACTAGCTTGGTCCTATGTCTATGATATTTAGGGAGGATTTAAAAGGGTGGTCATGACCAGCTTCCAACTGCCTTAGGGAAAGCTCTGTGGTTGTTGGCACCTTGGTAGTGATGGGAAACAGAGGTCTTCAGTGGCCCAATAAATAAACTTCCCTCGTATCAAAGGAAATGTTTCTGCTGCCCCCAAACATCAAAATGTTACTTTCTCCTCCCTTTGATTAACTGCTGATATTGAACCAAAATGCTGCAGGACTTCTTTGAAACTTCTTGAATTCAATGGTGCTGGCATGGAGCATGCTGCAATAAAGAGATAAACTAAATGTATAACTTTGGCATCCTTTCCATTATTCAGCTTAGTCTGGCATACTACTAATCACTTCCGCAGAGGTAGGCTGGCCACAGATCCAGATGCAGCATAGCATAGGATTGACTATTCTGTGATGCCACTTCATCTTCTACCTTTGAAATCTTTTTGGAAACCATTGTTGGTCCAGAATATTGCCATTTCGCTAGAGTTGGGGAAGGAGGGAGGTGGACTGCAAGTCTCATCACTCCTAGCCATCAGTAAAGGATGATAGGAACTGCAGTTAAACAACCTACCTAAAGTATGTTGTTAATTGGGGCCAACCACTGGAAATAAATCTTCCATCTACCTTAAGATTTTTTCCCCATCTGTCAGGTAATTTGTGGACCAAATTCAAAGTGGAGTGTCCTTCAAAGTCTTCTCTGCCTTAAAACCTAGTTGGGTATCCCAAGAAATGCCTGATCCTGATCAACTAGGCCAAGTATTTGGATTGTCTTCAGAAGTTCTCTTAGAAGTGAAGCTGCCTGTGAGATCTAGTGGGTGATAATTAAAGAGATGGCCTTCTCATTTATGGAAATCCATCAGGAAGGCTAATTCAATGTGAACATTTCTGTCTATTTGGTACCAAGCAAGTGAATTTTTATTCTTCCAGGATTTAAAAGTTCTTCTTCTTCTTCTTCTTCTTCTTCTTCTTCTTCTTCTTCTTCTTCTTCTTCTTCTTCTTCTTCTTCTTCTTCTTCTTCTTCTTCTTCTTCTTCTTCTTTGATGGAGTTACGGTTTCTGAAATGCTTTTGCCATCAAATTTTATTTTTCTAAAATAAAATCATGTAAGAATCATGACTGGAGAGTAGGATGTGCAGTATTAAAAAGAACTAAAGAGTAGAATTTGAATGTGTTACCACAT